AATTCTGTAGGGAGAGGGGGGGGTTGGTCTCTCTCTTCTTTTCTTCGCTACTCGTATACGTACTTAAAATCAAACTTACAATTAGCAGCGGCAAACTTTCGACTAAAATTTTAATAACTTACTGTTATTAATTGAAACTATTATGTAAAACTATAGTTAACTTATTAAAAGAGAGTCAATATATGTAGTTAAAGTATATATAGAAATATTTGAATATATTTTGAATACCAGTACTACCCCTCGCATAAATTAGACGAAACAATTATTTCGGGAGTAAAAATTTATATTATCGTTATAGTTTGTCGGGAATTTTCAAATAATTTCAAGAAATTGCCGTATAAAATCTCAGAAAATGTATCATCTTCGAAATGACACGTTTTCACTTAACTGAAAACATACATTTTCCTCAATACTGTGATTGAACGAACGGGAGATGCGTCGGGTTGTTTCTCTCCTCCTTCCCCCCCCCCTCTCTCTCTTCCTCCTCCCTCTCTCGTTCTCGCTCTCACCTTCTGCGACCTATTTTTCCGTTGGAGTTATGACGCCGTCACGATGACGTCACCGCCGCACTGACGTCACTACCACTCCCTTACGTGACCATTCAGGATGACCTCGTTTCTCTCCCTTCGAATTTCACCCTCTCCGATTCGTCCCCCTCTCCTCCCAGCGGCTCCGTCCCTAGAGCTTAATGGCCACCTCCTGCGCCATTCATGTGAACATTTCCTCGCTTAGTGGATGTTTTATTTCATAAAACGGTTCGTTATGCGGTCGTGTAAACGCAATGCTTTTCGTGACGCCCTCGACATAATGTGGTTTCTTCAGGACCGATGAAAATTCTATATCACTTGCACACTTTTGTTATTATGCCATTTGTGTTTATGTAAGAACACACACGTGTGCCATATTAAAAGTCTCGCAACTATCAATGTATCGTATCAATTAAAGAGAGAAAGTTAGATATATCTACATATTTTTCATATTTGATATTGAAATTCGTAAATCATCAAAATTGTACGCTAGAAAGTGACAATCTTAATTCGTATCTACAATCAAGCAGCATGTAAACGGTCAAGAAACCGTTTACGATTTATATTCAGACCATGTTAATATGCTTGACAATTTATTAAGCGAATAATATTATTTAAATTATCAGTGCGCATCAAGTAAAGTGCAGCTTTATTTGAATCATTCAAAGCACATATGAATTGCCTTTGTGCGCGTCCACAACCTTCATTTCAAATTATGATTTTCAAAAGCTCCCGTTTCAAAAGTTCCAAATGAACCACTTCAAACGTATATGCGCAGCCACGTGAATAGTTGGAACGATTGAATATTTCGAAATCAAGTACCCGCGTAACAAGTACGTATTACGATTAAACCGCAGGATAAAAATATGAAGGCGGCTGATTAGTTAGAAATATCGTAGGCTGAAGCTAAATCATTTTAGTTAGCGGAACGTCGATAATAGAACACACACACACACACACATACATACACACGAATACATGCGCTATAGCTGGGGGGATGGATGCACAAAATAGGATTACGGCCAACAGACGCAGGCACGTTAACGGCTCAGTAGTAAATCCAGATATTTCGCCGACGTAAAATTATGTGAAAAAAGGAAAATTATGTGTTCGCTAGAAATCAAGCAAAAGTCTAATCGTTTGGTTTCGTATCTTTCGCTGATGAAAGAAAATATCAAATCTTATTTGAAAAAAAAAAGAAAAAACTGCAAAAAATTATCGAGCTGATGATTGAAACTTTTAGAATTGCATGTTAGAATTTGAAATGACAGAATGGATATATTTAACGTCAGATGTGAACGCGTTAAAAATTATAATACATATAATTATAATACATATATAGATATATAATTATAATTACGATTATTATTTAATAAAGCGTTACCCGAGCGTATAGAATTATTAACGTACATTAGTCGTAGTTATTCTACCAAAAATGTCGCATGATATAATTTATCACATGCGACATTTTTGCGTTAATGTAAGGTCATCTAATAAGATTTATTAAATTAAATAGACATGTTTTTTTTAGTATAAATGAGATAAAATCGTTTTTACTATTATTTATTGAAGCAGATATATAATGTAAATTAGTTACTGAAAGAAACACGAAGTCGTTTCGAAGTTGCTTGGGTCTACTTATAAAACTTCAGGTTCAAAGTAAGGTCGAAGAATTTCCATTTAATTTACCACACAATACCGCGAGAGCCGCAATGATCTTGCAAATTAGAACGGAAGAATGACTTATCGCGCGAGAAGCAAGATGTTTTTAATAATAACAGCAGCCTAATAATAACGGTTCGCAGTTTTCCGATTAACGTCGACTTGTTGTAATCGAGGAGAGGCAAGGAAGACCGTGGATATTTTATAATTATCGAACCCCAAGAACTTTCATCATTTCATTAGATGGAAATATAAGGGACGAAAACAAAACGCAATTTGATAATTAATCGTTTCACTCTGCCAGGAGATACTCATGATTGCTACAAATTTGTTTTTAACGCTTCAGCAAACGGATCGCGCCTTTTTCCGACCATTCTCCGCTTTGCGACTTTATCTTTCATAGCGCAGGTTTAACGGAGCAAAAAAAAAAAGGAAGGTAAAAGGCGACGCCCTGCGTCCTTGGCTAGGAGTATCGATAAATGTCACAGTGGTTCTCTCAAACCTACTCAAATAAAACTCGAAAGTGGGTTAGCGTTTCACGGATCTCATCTGCTACGATGACTGCTGGTTTTTGCCTCGACTCTAATTAAAAATATACGATTATACGCTGCGAAACGTGCACTTAAGGTACACGTCAATTTACTTGACGTTAAGTTGATCGGTATCTTTACGTTAGCAAACCGTTTCGCCTGATTAAATGATATTCTTGATTTTCACATTTTGTATGTTCAAACATACAACGGGTTATTGTTGAAGGAAGGAACACTCCAATCTTGGAGGGCTCGCAATGAATAATAGACGATAACGCGATACACCCGCGATTGCACCCGTTGGTCATTAACCGAGCGGAAAACTGCTGATTAGATCGGCGCAGGCCGTGAAACGAGCCCCCTTTCCTCCATCCTCCGTGCCGAATCGCCACTTCCGCCACTCCCATCCCGGGTGCTGAGGAGATTCTACAAGGTGGAAAGCACGAATTTTCGTGTGCCAAATGAATTTTCGCCAAAAGGGCGAAAACGCGCCCGCTTGTCCGTATAGTTGATAGACCCAATATCTATGCAGATTCGGTCGAGCGAATGTAGGCCGTGCGTCTCCCGCCGAATTGGCTGACTTTATTTATTTTTTTCGTTCGTCAGTCTCGGAGAAGTCAACCGCCGCGGCGAAAGACGCGCGCGCGAAACCGTCGGTTTCGATTGTACCGCCCGCGCCGCGCGGATTTCATGTGCGACGCCGCAACTCTCTCCGCCGCTTTTCTGTCTAATTTTCTACCCCGGAGAGCGAACGTCATCCAGCTTAATTGGCTCCCGCTTTAATTAAAGTGAATGAACTGGCTGCGCGGAAATATTCCGGATTTTAGGTACACTTTCGACATTTTGTGTGACCGACATTTATCAACTATAAGTACAATATACTAACTTTGTTTATACCGCAATTTAGTTCTGACTATACGACTCCATGCACATTTACATTCATATATTAGTTCATGTATTATATACGTGCAGCCGAATACATTATAGCAAATATTTATAAATACGCCCTCGGAGTGACCCATTTTCCGTAATGATCCATTATTTGTGATCATTAACTAATGAGTATAAAGTCAACAGTAAATTCAGATTTTTATGTAAAACGCAGTTTCAATCACTTTGGTTTTAATCACCACAGATTAAACAGTTGCGTCCCGTTTATATGTTTATTCAATCGATTTTATAGACAGCAGTGATAGTTATACAAAAGATAATTGATTTGCGTTCTGTCCAATAAATACATTCAGATATTCGATAGAGACTTTTTGTTTAGTAAAATTGAACGTTGTTTAAATTCAATATTTTACCATTGCTTTCCTTTCACGAGACGTGCACTCTCTCTCTCTGCATTCTCAAAAGGGATACTCAATAACCATTTCATATCGCTCGTAATTCATTCAACCATTTCGTTATTGTTTAATTTCAACCACAAACCTTCCGAAATATTTCAATTTTGTTTTTAAGATTTAATTTTCTTGTTTTTTTTTTTTAACAATTACGTTATGGAGCTTTTTGTTTCCGGCGAAAATGCATTCGCAGAACGCCGACCGCCATTTGGAAACTTCTCGGATAGTTTCGTGGAAAGACTTCTCTCCTGGAAGGACATGCGCCTAAAGCGCGCGCAATCTCGGTGGAAACGAATTCCGTGAATAGCAATCAACGGAGCATGGTTAATCGCATTAAATACTATCGATTCATCCAGAACGTGCGGAATCCAAATGCGCGTCACCGGATGTAATTGTAATCAGTCAATTTGCGAAATGTGCACCTTGCGGGATTCATTGTATCGGCAGAAGCGTCACGTTTCGTTGGGCTTTAATCTTCCGTCGAATGAAATTCATTTGGATCGAGCAGAATCGAAATGAACACGGGAGAACAGCGGCTTACGTATACCGGATTAATTAACGACGGCTTTTTTTTGTGGTACTCGTGACGGAAATACTTTTAACGGCAACTATATCGATTGTAAAAAAAAAAAACAAAGAAAGAAAGACGCGATACAGAAATTCCATCGCCAACTCGTTTTAATCTTTAATCCGCCGGTTATTACTAATAGCTTAAATATACGCAATTAAAAATAAATCAAGTTTCGCTTTGATCACACAGACATCACCGTGATATCATCAAAGTAGATTCAATACGGTTACGACGTTAACTTATAACACAGTAAAATCATATCTTCATATAGAAATTATGAGAATTATGCTTTGATTTGCCACGTTAAAATTCCTTATACTCGCTAAAGAAATTCACTAAACAGCGTTTCCCCTTTGGCTATTTCCAGGACATCGATTACGACGGTTTCCGCAAGTTCCTGAATTCGTATCTGGAGATCGATACGCCGGAAGAATTATGCCGACATCTTTTCCTTTCGTTCGTCAGGAAGGACTCGCGCGGAGTGGACGGCAAAGCCTTCAAAGTACGTATCGTCGTTTAAAGATTGGAGATTAGAAATAATAAAAGTCGCATGGTCTTATCCGCTATTGCGAATAGATTGAGCGCAAATTGGCCGCGAGAAGTAGAGAAAAAAAAAGAGAATCTAGTCACGAATTTAGTGCCACGAAGTGGCAGTGTGTTGAGCGTATACAAGCCCGAGACGCGCACCGCAGCCGCAATGGGTATCATGTCGGGGATAGGAAAGCGTGTCACGTCATGCGAGGGCGCTTTTGCCATAAAAAGCAACAATAAGAGATACTCGTAAACGAGATACTTTTGCCCAGGCGCGCTCGCGCCGGGAATTAAAAACGCCGCGCGTATTATACGCCGTTTGTTGGCTCCCAGGAGATGGCCGTGCTCTCCTCGACAACCGCCTGCGCCGCAATTACATCGCACACGACTTCCAGCAGTAACGTTAATAGCACCGGCGTACCGGGCGGCGCTACGACGGAGAGCCACGTTGGATCCTCGCTGGCCGACAAAATTCACGGAATTACGGAAAAATTGCAAGCGCTGGGCCATCACAGAACGGAAAGCGAAGCCTCGAGGACGCGGGGTAAAGTATACCGCTCAATTAGTTTACTGACACAGCCCATTATCGTGATAGTTACATTATTAGTTTGCTATATCCAATAAGGAAGGAACTGGAAGTGTATAACGCAAACTCTTCGCATTTTTCAACGTGAAAAAATTGAGCTCCTACATCATTCTATTAGGATCATTCTATTAGATTCTATATTAATTCTATTAACAGAATTATTAGATTCTATTAATTCTATTAACAGAATCTATTAATTAAATCTAATAGATTCTATTAATTTCATCTTCAAGAGATCTTTCTACAATTCCGATAAAAATCAAATTAACATTTAATATATCGTTTCATCTAGATAAATTGTCTTCTTTTTACAATTATATAAATTGTAATGATACATAAATATCGTAACAATGCGCTGTCGCGAGAGAAAGAGTCAACCAATACAAAATCACTGTATCAATGATATTTTAATGCGAATATTTTTCTTCTCAATTTGTACTGGCAGCGCACTGGCCTTCCGTTTCTCAGGGGCTGTATTTTTACGGTAAACGAATACTCTTGGACAAAATAGGTCAGCAGCAGGCAAAAAGAAAATGACAATTCCGATGGTTTGAATTTTTTTTTTACCCTGCATCGTATATCGGGCTGTTGTTCGCTTCGGAAATGGCGGACGAATAACAATCAATCCGGTCCAAAGAAGCTTTGAATAAGGACTCCTTTAAGCGCGCCGACGGCACCATTTGTTAAAATAAATTCCCTGTAAATATCGACTCGTGCGATTCTTTAACGCGAGTTGATTCATACAGAGACGTTATGAAAATATACACCCGGGCATGTGAAATCTCGCATATATTTTTAATTTCTGAACATAACGTTGCAGACGATTAATTAGATAGTATTTATCGGGGAAAGACGAAAAAAGAAACTTTCGCTTGTTTCGCTGAAAAAAATATAGAGTACAATTCTCGCAATCGAAACTGCCTTTATTACGAATAAAACGCGGGAGATCTGAGACGTCCCGTATAAACAGATGTATTCCACGGAAGACACGGAATATAGCCACCGGGAAACATTAGACGTTCCGGGACTATCGGGTAATGAATATTTAGCCGAATGAATCTTTCAAGGCGCCGCGCGCCGCGCGTCCCGCCTGTGGTATATAGAGGCAAGATCAACTCTGCGGGGCCGATCGATCATGCTGTTTGTTTTTCTTGTATTTCACGCAATCGCACATGGACCGATTCAGGAAGCGTGCATCCGATGTTAACGGTCACCCATACGTCGTACAGCTGTCACGACGTGCTAGAGAAGAAGAGCACGGATAGCAGTCCAAGTCAAAGCCAAATGTCGCGTAATTCATCCAGGAAGTCGAACAATTCTCTCCTAGTCAACGTCAACGTCAACAACGGGAAATTGGAAGGTATGGGCAATCGCTGAATCCAATACACATACGGCACATCGAGCGCAATACTGTTCGCAAACACGCAGACCCCGTGTCCCCAGCGATAATCTCGAGCCATTTGGAGATTATTGCAGAATGGATTTCCGCTCTTGGATCCGCGTCCGCTCTTTTCCCCCCCCCCCGTCGGTATAGCGTTATAATCTTTTCGCCATATATATTTTTCGCGCGGTTCTTTCTTTGTTCATTAACCCAGAAGAGTTATATACTCCACGGTAAATTGACTAATCTCGAATACACGTGTGTAAGTGCGAGGCTCCCTTTAACGAGCTTCGGTTCCGCTATACCTCCTTGGATACTCCACCTGTGTGCGCTATCCGCTCTTTTCATTCTAGATACTTGAAGCTTTCGCTATACACAGGGCCGGCTCTCGATAAAGAATCGGTTCTTCGTGATCGAGAGCGCCTTCTCGAGGAACATCCTGCATTAAAGTTTCCCTCGAGCAGCTGTGTATATATCATATATATATGGCTTTATGTGAATGCGGGATTAAAGGATGCTAGATCGTGCCGCTTAAAAGATTTCTCTTCCCGACGTACGTGCAACTCGCGTATCCGTGAAATTCGCTGCACGACGCGGGATTCATTTTTGCCGGGTGAGATCGCCGCCGTAACGGTATGACAAAGGGATCCATTTTAGTCGCCATCGATCTTACAGTGGCGCTTTACTCTCCGTCCCTCTCTCCTCTGTCTCTCTCTTTTTCTCTTTTTCTCTCTTTCTCTCGCTCCCAAACAAAACCTGAGATCGTAAATGCTGCGATGAATTACAGCTCGGAGGGACGTGACATCTCTTTCAGAAGTGTACTTCACCATATAACGTGAACGACAGTCAGCGTAATCGAAAAAAATAGCGACCGCAATGTCCGCAGTACCGCGGTGTGCCGCCCTTCGTACCGCTTTTACGATATCGACGTAGCTATCTCCTTGCTTCATTATGCGCTTCCGCGAATGTTACGGCGTGGCGTTTCGCGCTATTTTTACCCACGCAGAAAGCATATGTCATATCTTATTCGACGCGCATTTAATGACTCCATCGTCAGAAATATCATCGATAGAAAAGAAATGTTGTCGTACTCGATAATTAATCTGGTTAAAATTTCACGTGAAACTCGATAGGCTTCGAGTTGGCGAGAAGACGCCCAAGATCAAGGTGCGATCAGTATATAGGTATATAGGTTTCCGTCGGTTTTCCAGCGCGCTCCTCTAACATGTAAAAATCGATTTAAATTACTCGGCGCGAGACGTCAACACGCGGTGTGTTTATGTCTGCGCTAAATGAAGACGCACCGGATAAGTGACGGAAATAATCATGCTTACGTTATGGATTTAAGGGAAATATTTATTCACGTCTGCGGCGATCGTGCCATCGATCGCGCGCATAAACTCTCTAACGCGCGCGAGCGCGCGCGTCTTACTGGAGATACAGGAAATGGAGATTGCTATTTTAAATTCTGGTTCGTACATGACGAATCTATACGTATAACGGCCGGGAGACGGGGTCTGATCTTCACGAAATGTCACGGCGTTATATACCGGGGGCTGTGTACGCGATTGAGAAAACTCCGCGGGGTTCTATTTCCGGGTCTGTTTGAAGAACGGGGGTCTGATCTTATCATCTCTTCGTGAAACACATGCAAGCGCTTCGCCGCGTGTCGGAACACATCATCGACATGAGGTGATGAAATCCCGAGTTAAAATCCCTTCCTCGCGCGCCTCTCGGTACACGGTGAAAAATGCAAGGAAAACATCGCAAATATGATCCGAAAATAGAGAGGGTATATGACGAATCAATGTTCCGATAGTACCGTACGGTGCCCCCGAGCCATTTTGAAATTGTTGCTGAGCCGGGCTGAGCCAAGCTGAGCGACAGAGACTCTCGATCTCGTCTTTTATGAATCAGAAGATGAATAGTCGCCTCCAGGTGCACGCTTCGTAATAAAAAAGGGGTCATAAAATACATCGTGTGAAAAACGTATGAAGAGGACAGGAATAGAGAGTGAGAAAAATTGCTACGACCGCGATGTACCTATATATACGGAAATATTCGATTCGAATGCATAATGACGAAATTCAACGACACACACTTCGCACTCTCAATGATCAAAATCTTATATAAAAATTTACTTCCATCTCTTCTACATATATATATTTCCGTAGTTTCGTTAATACATATTTCTCCGACATTTCTCTGAAGAACTGACAAATACCGAAATACGCCACTTCGAGTGCGGGAAGCTTAAGAAGAAAAAATAGAACGTCTAAAAATAAATGCCCAACGTCATTTCGTGTTGCCTTAATTAATGAACTTGCTAATCTACTAGCCGTATCGATCCGGAATAGCGCAGAGTGGGACACCACGCGCGTTTCGAATAATTCGCGCGGCATACGGGCGAGTTTGCGTAGCGCATGCACACGTGCCAGTGTCACCGAAATAGCTGGTACCGCCAGTATCATCCGGTATAAATGACGTCACGAGAGTGTGCGAGAGAATGATACCAGGTTCCCGGGGCCACGTCTCAGTGACTCTTGAGTCGCAGGAGAAGCAACAAGTGCTAAATCATTAAGCGCACATTGACGTCAACGCGCGCGCCACTCGACAATCGGGGGTTATAATCTCATTATTCGATCCTAATTAACAATCGGTCGTCGTACAAAGAGACTGGATAATCCAGTGAGATCAGTTTTCCACCCCTTTTTTTCTCTTAACAGTGGAAAATGGTCCAGTTACCGAACGTGTCGGGAGTGAAGCTGAAGGAAGGTGAGATAAAATTTCACGACTTTCGAAGACTCAATGCCGAAATTCTGCACTGAACGCGTGTAAAAGAGAATTTTTCGCGATTATATACATACAATATATATGTACAACCAACATTTATAGCGACATATGCAGATTTTCTTTTAATTCATCACATGTCACATGACAAATATATGCCAATCCAATTACGGAAAATCGACTAAATAATCCATATAACAACCCGCAAATAATAATTAGTTCAATTTACTGAACTCGCTCATTACTCATGATTATCACAGATTTTCATTAAAACAAGGAGCAAAGCCGAACAGTCACTATATTGTACGGTTATGAAATTACGTGCGATAAATTTTCGGTAAATCGTCCACGTTAAGAGAAAAAAATAATGCGAGGGAAAAGCTATTTCACTGCTCGAGATATAAATAATATATGTTGCATACAGACGTTACATAGGCAATAGAAGGTAATTTAGTAGATTTATTCAAAGTTTCAGCAACGCTGAACGTCACGGTGATTAATCGTCATGTACGCAATCGATCAGAACGTCGCCGTTCTCTCGTTGCCGAACGATTTTTCTTTTTTTCCCTAAGCTTCGTTACCAATACTTTTTCGCGATTTTCACTTGGAATAAATTGGATTGTTCGAACGGTAAAAAGAAAAAAAGAACTGATTCCACATGGGATAAAGCGCGTGACTGCGTTAGCACGCGCGACGCATCGTCTCGTGCGAAAGTTTATTTTTAACTAGTTCATCGTCATGCAAATTATTTCTGCGAGACGCGCGATGTCGTCCAAAAATAAGAGCAAAGAAATCGAACCATCGGAAGATCGCTAATTCTTCTATTAATGGAAAATACATAATTATATATTCATGGAACGTATAGTTCCAAGTTAAAAATCTTTCGGGACAAGATTGTATATGTGTCTTTATATAAATAATATCGATCTCCATCTAAATTGTGTTTCGAATATGAAATTAATGCTAAATTGATTGTTATCGAAATGATATTATAACAATTATAGGGTTTGCAAAAGAGAGCAGTGTGATATCAATGAGTTTTTATTTCTTTGTACGATGGAAACGTAAAATATATTTTCTATCAACTTTCTATTGTCATTTTTCCATTAATTTTTCATCGCGAACGCGAGGAGATAGTTTTTTTCGCGTGTTTTTTTCTTTTTTTTTATTCGAAATGCGTCGATATTAATTTCGGTCTCCCGGCAATTCGAATTTTGAAATCGTGACAGCACGCAAGAATAAATTTTATCGATAGCAATCGAGTCGATGTGGAGCCACGTTGATTCATGCAGAACTGCACGGCGATTTGGATTATAAATAGGCGATCCAGAAATACGGGCTAGACGTCGTCGACCTGTCTCGGAGCCGCGGCTAAACTCTAACAATCTATTATGACAAATCCAATTTATACGCTTATACATATTGACAATTCCGCGCTACTTCGGGGCGAGACGCAACAGGTCCTTTAGACTTTTAGGTATACAATTACTCAAGTCCGCGTGAGAGTGTTTATCTAAAAATACGGCTCGATCCTTGTCCTATCGAAATCGCGGATTTCCCGTTCACTTTAACGCCAGAGCGCATCGTGAATTTTCCACGAAATATGGGACAGATCCATCATATTGCAAGTCTGGCGATTCTCACTTTACCTGACGTCTAAGATACTTTAGCAGCGACTTTTCCGCGAAATGCGACGTCGAGGGAAAATCCCGGTGAAAATTCAGTTTCAAACTTCTTTGGAATAAAAGCGGTAGTTATGATAATTTCTACAATTTATTCACTGTAATGTTATATACTGATAAATTAAAAGATCATATCGCTAATATTTGAGAAATATAATTAGTATTCCGCTATAAATTAATAACATAACTAAATAATTATCTTTTAATGTATGTACAACTGAAATACAATATAACATTCTAAAATATTTATCAGTTTAAATTTACAAGCTATAATCATATACAATCCCGAGTTATTAAATGTTATTTGCATTAGTCGCATCGCGCTTATTGACCAGTAATTGTGGATTATTCCAGCGTGAGATCAAATTGAAAATAAATTTCTGCTTTTCCAGAGATGAGGCATCTTGTCAGAAAGCAAAGCACGATAGACGTTCAGTCCGTTAAAGTCAGCCTCAAAGACATCGTTTGTTATCTCTCTCTCTTGGAAGCCGGCAGACCGGAGGATAAACTGGAATGTAAGTAATTGCTACAAAACAATTACGATTATCTCGCGAATTCGCGGGAAACTCCCCGTCATCTTTCGTGCCGAATAATTCGTTAGAGCGGATGATCGACGATGCTTTAAAACAGACCCCAGCATTATTTTCTGTAGCCGGGGGATCGATGCTACAACGATTACACGCTTGTTTCCTGTATAATCAAAAAAACATGTCCGCGCATAAATCACAACCGGGATTCCCGTTTGTTTTTCGGGAGAGCGTTATCAGAACGATATATTTCACGCGTGTGCGCGCGTGCATTTAAATTGTGAAAAATTGTTTCGCGGAGTATATATACAATATCGTCGTGAATAATTCTCCACGCTCGTAAATCCAGACTCTAATCTTCCCTAAAAAAATCGCACGTTTGCTTTTCGGCGTGGAGTTTATTAAACTTTTTCGTATGTGTGCCCTCTTTGAGAAAGACTTGAAGGTGTTGTCACAGAAAGATAAGAAAGACGGTGAGAAATGTCATTTGAGAAATAATAGTAGCTATACGTTAAAAAAACGAGAATCGGAGGAACCGAATCTCTTTTTACGTAAATTATACATTTTTCGATCTGCGAAAATTTTTGAAAGGGAATACTGTTACTTCAATTAATCAAATATTTTGCCCTCGATGAAAAATTGTGATTACACATATGAAGAAAAAAGAAACGAGAGTGATAGACGTATAGAATTTATGAGAGGGGGATTCGCGTGTCGGCCGACTGCAGTCTCGATTTTCTGCTACAGTTGTTACAAGTCCATTTTCCGTTTGGACTTGTAGTGCAGCTGCAACTTGTTGCGCGGCAATTTCGGCTTGCGTTAACTCGATAATCCTTTTTTTTTCCAGTCATGTTCCGGCTGTACGATACGGATGGGAACGGCGTCCTTGATACGAACGTGAGTAAAGAATCGTCGTTATCAGTTAACGCGAACGATCACGCGCAAGGCGAGCGACACGTGCGTGTACATAAACGCCGTGCCTTGTACACTGTCGCTTATATCAGGCGGAAATGTCGTTAATTGGTCACATATGGCCGTGTGTATCGTAGCTACATTACGTACGATTCTAATATATTGTCACATTGTTAATTGGAATAAATGTGCCCGTATCGTCGCGCGATGTTGAAATAATCGCGAGCGATAAATAATAAAGTTGACTGAGCGCGACTGGCGCGAGAGCTGAAAAATAATTCTAATTGCAATTTGTATACGCGAAACGGACTTTTCTCCGGCGAAAATAGATTGACCTTTGCTGCTTAAGTAACAACAGCGGTATAGAATAGCTCCGGCTGATATTAATAGAAGAAATAAATACTTGTTCCATACTGCTGGGCCGCACCCATAACAGGCACGTCAATTGACATGTATCCTCTGCGATCCGTTACAACATGAATTACGTAGAACGAGTGTAATTTCCGGTGCTTCGATGACGCGCATCATTGACCTCTTTGCAATTGAGCGCCCGGAAAACTGTGTCAGTTGGCTAATGCATTGTTATTATGTGAAAAACAGTCCATTTTGTATCAGTACTGCTTGATTACGCGCCCACCGTGCGTCAATAGAACGTCATAATACGACTATATATATATATATATATATATATATATAGGTATATATATTTCTTACTCTTGTTTTTTGCTAACAGCGGAGCATTAATTAACGCGTTATCATTACACTATTAAATCTATAGTATCAAATTTAACCTTATTTAAGTCGCCACTGCTCTTACTTAATAAATAATTATTTTTTACTAAAACAATGAAGTTAAATAATTCAAAACCGTTCAAATTTAATTTAATTTTGTCCCAAATTTGAATTAAATTCCATCGTTTTATTTAAAAATAACTATATATTAAAGTAGGAGCAGTGGCGAAACTTAAATAGGATTAAATTTAACACTGTAGATTTAACAGTGTAGCTTTATTCGTTATGATTAGATCATTAGATAATCTAAGAAGTTAAAGAATCTTTCTACATTGAAATAATTAATAAGCGTCTACCTTTCTTTCGATGGAATTTTCGCGGAACGCTGGAATTCCATCGTTTCGCGGGACACTTGTCCCAAAATACCGCGACAGCCGCAGCTCGTGGAAGGACAAAATAAGCGTTTTATATTCGAAATTGGCATCAGGTGTTCAATGCATTCGTCATTCGGGCGCGTTAGAGATATGCGCCTAGCGCATATTGATGCATATATGTATAAGGCGAAGGGGAGCGCGATTTATGCGTTGACATGAAATTACGGCCAAGAAGGATGCCGGGAAAACGACGGTCGTCCGCATAATGAGTTCCACCGTTGAATAAATCATCGATATCGCGGTGTACAAATTGCGCGACCACGATAAATATTCACGTTTTCCGATCGGCGGAATCGCGCGCGGGGAAAGCAGATGAAAATGAAAATGCGCGGCGAAGCCGGCCGCTGCTTTCGTTGGCATCTATTCAGCTATCGGATGGTAAATAAACAGTCGGAAAAGACGCGAGTTTTTAATGAAAGATGTATTAGACTCGTATGTATATTATACATATATATATCATCGATATACGTATTCGGAAAGGATATGTGTACTCGAAATGCGTATGCGAAACGTCAAGGAATGGATGATCAATATCTCGATACGTTGCACGGGAGCTTGCACATAGTTTAACAAGCGATATACCTGCGCGTCAATGCGAAACATGCACCGATCAATGGAACGGTTGTTCTTTATCGTTGTTACTAATATCGCTATCACGTGTATCCAGGAGATGGACTGCATCGTAAATCAAATGATGAACGTCGCGGAGTATCTCGGCTGGGACGTCAGCGAGCTGAAGCCGGTAGGTATAGAGGAAACGGAGCCTTGCCTTTCGGCAGACTTCGGATTTTTTGAGGATTCAAGACGGATTGCCTTTCCGCGCGCGCGTTACACATTTCATTCAATTAATAATTCCTCCTCTATTCCGAGAAAAATATCAAAGAAGAAAAGGAAAAATTTTTTCAAAGATAGCCGAAAATTGGAATACGTAGAGAGTATTGATTGCATTTTAGATTCTGCAAGATATGATGATAGAAATTGACTACGACGCAGATGGCACGGTCTCGCTGGAAGAGTGGAAGAGAGGTGGCCTCACGACAATACCCCTGCTGGTCCTTCTGGGTCTGGACTCCCACGTGAAGGAGGACGGGAACCATCTGTGGAGGCTGAAACATTTCAGCAAACCCGCGTACTGCAATCTCTGTCTAAATATGTTGGTTGGCCTCGGCAAGAAAGGGCTTAGTTGCGTCTGTGAGTAAGAAATCCTTGATACCGCTATCTCGCGATGTCAGAACAAGTTAAATTAGAGTAGCGATTACAAAAACGAAATCGCACGAAGAACATGACCAGCTCTAAGAACAAAAAAGGGCGTTCTATTCAAAACCAAATACGTGCAATCATCGTTAATAATCCTCTTTTTCGGATCAGTTTGCAAATATACGGTGCACGAGAGGTGCGTCCAAAGAGCTCCAGCCTCTTGCATAGCCACTTACGTCAAGAGCAAGAAGACACCTCAAACAATGGCTCATCACTGGGTCGAAGGTAATTGCCAGGGAAAATGTTCCAAATGCAGAAAGACAATCAAGAGTTACAATGGCATTACCGGTTTACGCTGCAGATGGTGTCAATTAACCGTGAGTATTTTTTTTTCTTTTAAGTTGATACTAATTCCGAAATAAAACCTAAAATATATTCGTGGTGATATGAAAGAAAGAGAAAAATATTTAAAGATATCATAAAATAATGAATTTTTATAAAATATTATAAATATTCTAGAGACCGCATCTAATTGTAAAAATTTTAATACGCGCTTTTAATAAATTTTAATACTTTTTAATATTAAATTTTAATTAAAAAATGTATGTGTAAATTTTGTTCGTTAAAGCGCTAATAATATCCCTATTATGATTATATCCCTAATGTGATAATATTCCTAATTGTTTACACGTGAACATTTCCATGGAAATATTGCAGTTGCACAATAAATGTGCGTCACAAGTGCGAGCGGAATGTACGCTCGGCGATCATGCGATACACATCCTTCCACCTACGGCAATTTGTCCCGTTGTGCTCGACAGACAAAGGTCATTGTCGAGGGACAGCAAACGTGGTAGCAAACACTGTCAGGACAGCTCATCGGTCAGCTCTGTAAGTGCGATTATACAATAATCCGCATTAACTGTCTCTTATCATCGAATGCCCGTCTTGCGAGGAAACAAATGTGAAATATAGCCATCTTGTGTGTTTAATTATTCAGAAAAATTGCGAATCAAGCTCTTTGAACCGTAAAATTATGTTTGCAAGTCAAATATGTATATAAAATTTACATAATCAAAATTAAAAACAATTATGCATATTCAATTTAGGAAAGTGATTGAGAGTCTTGGAATGCTAAAAGAATAAAAATAAAAATTAAGAAATTGTGCTTTCAAACGGGACAATAACGAAAAATGCCGTATGCTCTGTAACATACAAATAAACGTAGTGAATCTAATAGGGTGTTTTCCTGAGCTGCGGTGGTAGTTCGTCGAATCAGCAACCAGCAATGTCCTTTCAAATTACACCATCGGAGGGCACGACGCCGCTTTTGGTTTTCATAAATCCAAAATCGGGCGGCCGGCAAGGCGAGCGAATGTTACGGAAGTTTCAGTACATCCTGAACCCTCGGCAGGTTCACAATCTAGCACTCGGCGGGCCCATGCAGGGCCTGCAGATGTTTAAGGACGTGGAGAATTTTAGGGTGATCTGTTGCGGCGGCGACGGGACAGTCGGTTGGGTCTTAGAAACCATGGGTACGCATCGCAATTTAATTACGATGTGTTTGCGATTACTGTATTACTCAATTATATTATTCACGTATATTAAATTCACGTCGAGAACACGAGTAAAATGAATAACGGTTGTATAACGGCAACACGTAAAAGCGGTGTTTTGTAATAAATTTTGCAATATTATGCGCTAATTGTTAATCGTGCACGTATTAAATCCGATAATAGGTTCATCGACTACTATATAGACCAGCGAATGGCCTGGATTTTAATAGATCTCCCTCTCCCCGCCCCTCCCCCCCATTAGCCGATTAACATATAACAAGTTCATCATTTCGATGTTGCTTTTCGATGCCGCTTTAATTAATTGCTAATAATTTAATGTTCGGCGGCAACCGCAATGTTGTAATTAATGCTTTCACAACTATTTCATCCAGATCGTGTGCAATTCGAGAAACAGCCTGCCGTGGGTGTTATACCTCTCGGTACGGGTAACGATCTCGCCAGGTGCTTACGCTGGGGTGGTGGTTACGAAGGTGAAGCTGTAGACAAGGTGCTTAAGGTAAAGCAAATAGTATATGCAATCTATATAGATTCTAACTTAGAAAATACCTTCTATTTTTTTTTTACACACGGTATAAAACGTCGGATGTTTTCATTTCATTATTTAATAACGTCAAATTGCACTGTCAGAAACTTCGCTACATGAAACCTAAATGCGATTCGCAGAAAATAGAAAAGGCGACGCAGGTGATGATGGACCGCTGGCAAATAGAAGTGGATCAAAAGGACGAGAAAAAGCCGAATCAAGATAGCATACCGTATAACATCATTAACAATTATTTCTCGGTGGGCGTCGACGCCGCCATATGCGTGAAGTTTCACATGGAGAGGGAAAAAAATCCGGAGAAGTTTAACAGCAGAATGAAAAATAAGCTGTGGTACTTTGAATACGCAACCACGGAGCAGTTCGCGGCCAGTTGTAAAAATCTTCACGAAGATCTCGAGATAATTGTAAGCGTATAGTTATACACATATACATGGTGAAAATTTTTTTTTTAATTTACCCTGCAAATCATGTTAATTATGGGACAATATAGTATTTAGGCAAATTTTACTGTGCACTACAATAAGATTTCGCAGTAAAATTTATTGTAGTGCACAGTAAAATTTACCTAAATACTATATTGTCTCACAATTAACATGATTTTCAGGGTAAATTTTAAAAGAAAATTCTCTCCGTGTATGTATATGTAATGTCTTCAATCAATTAATTCAATCAGTTAATGGTTTATAAGTATATCAAGTATCGAATAGAGCCGAGAATTCAAATATATATCAAGCGCGGAGCAAGAATTAATTCAACCAGTACTGGTTCTAACGTCGTTCTGTATGTACCTATTCAGAACGAACCGTTAGAACTGGTACCGAATACGTAATCAATCAATTCGGCGGAATCAATGGAATTCGCGACGCTACGTGCATTTCATCGATTGCAGTGCGACGGTACGCCTCTGGATTTGGCGCACGGTCCATCCTTGCAAGGAGTCGCATTGCTAAACATTCCTTTCACTCACGGGGGCTCGAACCTCTGGGGCGAGCATCACACGCGGCATCGTCTTGGCAAGCGAAAAAAGCGACCCGACAAAGAGCTCAGTACCAGTAGCTTCAATTCCGTAGATCTCACAGTCGCTATTCAAGGTGAGCTCGACGCGCGAGAGTAAAATAGCTTCCGCGGAAGCAATACAATAATATTCCCGCGTATGGAATATAAAGAAGCGTTTAACAAGTAATATCGAGTACTTATCTCACTGCTCGCAGACATCGGGGACAATCTCATAGAGGTAATCGGTCTGGAGAACTGTTTGCACATGGGACAAGTGAAGACCGGGCTACGACATTCCGGCCGGAGGCTGGCCCAGTGTAGTAGCGTCACCATCACCACGAGCAAGCGATTCCCCATGCAAATCGACGGCGAACCTTGGATGCAAGGTCCTTGCACGGTAAGCTGAATAAAATAAAGAACAATAAAATTCGAATATTTATTCGAATTTGTTCAATAAATATTTTCGAAACATGAGCAAGATTTTTTCCTCGCGAAGATTTTACCGAACGCTTTATTGGAATTAAAAGAATAAAACGTTCTCTTTTCTCTCTTAATTCTATCTAATCTAAATTCTATCTTAATAAGCGTTTAATTTCAATTATTTACAAAATGTTCTTCACTGTCTGATCACAAATATTGTTTAGAACAAATTTATGTTCCCAAAATTCATTACGACATTATCGATATTTTATATCTTCGTATTTAAAAATTGCAAATTAAATGGAAAGGCTAAAAATGTTTTTCCGGCGCAGATTCGCATCACACACAAAAATCAAGTACCGATGCTGATGGCACCACCGCCAGATAAGAGCAAGGGTTTCTTCCGGTTCTTAAAAAGGTGAACGGCAGCAGCAGCTTTACGCTTTCATCGAAGGAGGATGGATACTATCGAGTGTGAAAAGATCAATTCCACCTGTCTCTACCCAGTCTTCGTCATCGTCCGGCACGTTTATTCCTCTTCATTACGGCGCAAAAATGTATCAGTTCCATCGTATGTAGTCACAGCTTCGATACACGTCTAAAACGCAAAAGAACGCGAGCGTCAACGCGCCTTAGATATTGTATACAGTATTTTTCGCGTCTTGTGTATAGTATTTTTCAAAAATAAATTACGAAATTTTATGTCCTAGTCTTAGAACACGCCAAGCGGTAGGCTCGACCGTCTCTTAAGCCTTTTTAACGTTAGAAATTTTCGCGAAATCCGTTTTGTTTGCCCTTAACTGCCAAAGCACGGACGTCGAGCGGAAAGGATACGATTATTCGCTGTATATATATAATGTCGATAATAACTCTCTGTTGCTATAGGCTTATCGTATCGGCTTTCAGCCGTGAGCGCGATAGATTTAATTTATATAAAATTCGCTTCGATTAAAGGTGTGTTTCAAATTTAGCGAGAAGAGGCTCGTCAACACACAAAGAGACGTCGTCGACTTTCCAGTTAAGGGTGACCATTATCTCGCGCAGGTATTAGTCGCGCAGCGAGTGCTTTCACGTTCCGAGTTTTGAGTCTACCGCTTCTTACATGCATGTGCAGATCGACCGGCGCATGTAATTATACGCAGCAAAATAGACGACACATTAAACACGGCGAATTATTGTGCGGCATCGTGCAAACGAGAGTGGAGTTGAAACGGCCATTTCAACTTAACCGCGGACGTGAATGTACGATTCTTTCAAGATCTATCGCCGAACAATTAGCGTCTCTCTAGCGTGTAGAAAGAATGGGCAAGCAGAGATACGGACTGGACTGGTCGACATTTTCGCTTGTGATACGTGATATATTCCTAATTCTGGTTCTCCTTTGCACGAATCCGTCCGTCGAAACACGAGTCACGTACTTTCCACAATTAACTCTATAGGTTTTTTGTACCGAAGGCTTAGCCGTAAACGCTTAGGCATAAATCACAAACTTTATTTATTTATTTTTTATCTGTACGACGTATTATATATATATATATTTATTTATTTATTTATTTATTTTTCGCGTAAGTTTATATAAGTCAGAGCAATATATCGTAAGCATATCAACGAGCAACTGCGATTATGCGTAGCATGTTGTAATAATTTGGTTGTTGAATATTTTGTAATCGCGAAATTGGCGAAATTAAGGATCATTTAAACCTTCGCGGATCGTAATTGAAAAATTGTACAACCCGCGTTTTTATTATTTTAGACATTTGTTATTTTTAATAATTGTATATACATATAATCATTGTACTTTTCACGATTCATACTTCGCATTCATGTTTCTGCACTCTTCCGTGCGATCGCGAAAAAATTATTACTAAATTTCTCTTGTATATCCATTAATATACGTTGTCTTATTACGTGTATGAACACCGATATTCTTCACCTGTATTATTGGTAAACCTATCCGCCGATCTAAGTAACGATTACTTCGAAATGCTTCTCTTCGTCTCTGCTACTGTTATTCCAATTTAAACATTGTACACCAATGACGATCGATTCAATATATCATTTTCTTAAGATTTTTCGTAAACGTTAAGGAAGAAAGTAGCCCTCTAATGTAGCCATTAAGTGTCTCGTCTGTTAAATCATATAGATTCTATATTTCCGTGCAATTGTTAAACACATTTTGTTAGTACGATACGCGACAAATCTGAGATATATCAATTTTGAATCTAATTGTAGCGAAAATGAAACTTTATGTTTTTGTATATTATATATACATATATACATATATATATACATATACGCAGCCAAAGAAATATTATATACAATACAATTAAAAATCCCGCAGGGACCATCTCGATATATAAACGATAAAGATTTTAAATTTTCATATCTTCTTGCAGACTTCGAGATTTTAATCTTTTGTAATGTTTAAACCGTCAGTTTTGCGACATCTCTCGCCGCTATTTAGATTTTACTTACGACAAAATGCACATTACGCGAAATAAATTGGAGAACGAACGCGTAATTTAACAATTGATTCTAGAGCAACAAGTATTATAAGTGGGAGTTTTACATAGCATAGTTTACATTTATGATAATTCAAAGTACAACATTACACCTCCACTAGGTAGATGGTTTAGCTTACTCTCCACCCCAAACCGATCACTCATGATCGTCATTGTTTATTTTTTTTATCGCAATTGCGCGTACGATTTACGTGACGATTAACGCGGTCGATTAGTCGCTAGATAAATCGAAATACTACGCTTATGAAAAAAAAAAACTTGTATCGATGAGAAGAATGAAAACAATTTTAATTTTCGAGTCGGTATACTTAGCGAGAGCGAGCTCTTATTGGGGAATGAGAAACGACGCGAGAATGTGAAAAATCGCCGCCGGGGACAAACGGGAGTTTCCATCCCCTGCGGTTCTACGTCCCTTCGATCTGTGAATAAACTAACGGAACAATAACGATATTGTTTTTCTATTGGATTGGCGCAGTGTCTCAGTGTGCTTTGTCATTGTGTAACATTATATATGATGCGAGAAGACCCAAAAATTACTCGTTATACGGCAGTACAGGGAAGTGTAAGACATTTTTCGCGACGAGGCGAGAGCCTGTTGGAAATTCGAGGGGCACACAGGCTTTACAGCGACGATCTTGTTAAGTACCTGAGACAAAAGTCGGAAGGAAAGAGCCGTACTGTGTGCCGACAATATTCCAAGAAGGATCTCGCTCCGAGTTTCCAGAACATCGTAAAGAATGCGATCGTGAAGCGTGAATCGGGTGTAAAATCAGAATTATAAAATTCTTAGGATCGCTGTATATCGATTTCCTATACATAGCACCGAATGAAAATAATTAGGCTGACTTCGCACACAAGCAATATGCAGAACAAATATAGAAGTAGCAAATATTTAATATGCAGATGATATAATAATACAGAGGAAAATGTGACACAGTTATGCGGATCACTTCGGAAAATTATGTGCAGACAACATCTGTCATAAATAAGATCAAGATAAAAATTTGTTGCTGACGTAACAGTTTAAATTAGTAAGAAATTTCGATTTCATTATTTGAATAGAATTTGATAAGAATTGTTTTTTATTTTTGGTCTTTTTTATTTTTTAAATAACAGAATCTGTTTTGTGGAATGCTACAAAAATAGATAACTCAAAAAATTAATTAAATAGTAGAGAAATTTATTTTATAAAATTGTAAATTATGTACTTGAATTTCTGGATATTCTATATTATTTACGTTTCTTGATTCCTAGTACAATTTTTGTGTTCGATTTAATTTGAACTAAATAATTCCTACACTTGAGATTTAAGTTATGTTATCGTATTTTCGCTGTAAATTCCTTTCTTTACGCCACACTAGAATTTAATTATATCGCTCTTTTCCGTAAACAAAATTTTAAAAAATAACCACATAATATGTAAATCACTCATGTTATGAATAAATCACGAAAATAATATACAGTTGAAAGTAAAAAAGACCAACAGTGCAAACAGTTCTAACTATAATTCTTAAGATTAATCTTAATTCGGAATTAAGAATTAAATTTCACAGAATGAATTTTTCTGTAATTTTCTTTTAAACGCTTTTACTCTTTGTGTAATTAAAAAGCTAGGAATATTATGAATTCTACATCGCTATATAATAATTATGCAAAAGTTGAATGTTATTGGAGATACCATACATATATATTACAATCCGATTCACACTTCGCCCTTCGCTTTCGATAAACATACGTTACATAAAACGATGTCTGGCATACGGAATGTATAACACGTTATAGTCGTTAAGCGCTACTTGTGGCTGAATTAGCTGAATTTACTGCCATCTTTTTTTGGGTCTACGTACGTTTGAGCACTACTGCCATTTTCCAAAGGATAGACACATACGCGAATGAAAAAGCCTGTCTATAGTGTAATATAACATAAGAAATAAAATGTAAATTTATCGCGAATTTATATCTTATTCCTATAAATGAATTCCTAACCCTTCAGAATTTCAGGTCGATTATTATACATCTCGTCGGTATAATTAATTTCAGAGCGATATACATATATCATTCTGTCGGGCAAAAGCGATACATATCGGCGCGGCGCAAATATATATAGTTTCACGATTTCTTGAGCGAGAAAGGAAAATCGCGAGGAAGGACATCGACTCTGTAAAATCTTTAATCGCTATTTTGAATGTGGAAAAACGTATATACCTCCTTCTGCGATTCGACATTTAAAGTTTCGAATTTCGGTGGTTTCTGACCGTGACAGCGAGTCGGCGTCGTCGGCGACCGCGCACCGCTTCGTCGAGAGGAACGGGAGGAGTGAGAGGGGGAGGGATTGCTTCGTGCTCCGCGCATGAGCGAAGTAGGTGACGTAGGTGTCAGCAGAGAGGATTCTCTGAGTAATAAGTCATAAGTGATATAACGCCTCTATGTGTATGTACAAAACATTAATTACGTAGCCATGTCAAGGAACGTTACCAATAACACACGTTACCGACGTTAGGACATCCAGTCGGTATAAACGCGAAGTCTGAAAATAAAAATGTCCTGCACGCGTTTAAATGAAATCCATCCACCAACGCCTCAACGTGCATATTAAAATACACGTAGCCATATGAATATATATATATATATATTCTTATATATATATTCTTAATTTACAAATAAAATTTAATCGAACAAAAACAAACAAATTTGTACAAATCTTTTATCATCCCCGATTTTAATTAGGGCCTATTTGCGTTGCATAACATTTATACTTCATTATATTTAACACGCTACAAATTTATTATTAAATATAATTAAAAAATGCGCTAAAAATATATAACTTAATACAACGCATATAAAATAATACAACAAAAAAGACATTATGTAATATAAAATTATAGAAAATTATTATATTGCATAAACAATTTATTTTTTATGTAAGCTACTTTATTTAACCGATTATACTAGCAATTTGCAAATTATTGACTAAACTTGGAATTTTTCTAAGCAAACTATATTCAACTTTAAATACAGATAAAATTTTGATTGGGCTAGAACAAATTAGCCCGTAAATGCCCTCCACCACCCCCGCAAATTATAATCAGCGGTCCTCGATCTTCTGTCCCAGGCAACAAACTAATGCATGGCGTCAATATGATCACAAACAACGTTTATAGTTTGCTACCTGGGTGGCACGTATTCTTATACATTTAATTATATACATTTATATCTTATTTTTTACATAATGTCTTTTACATTTATATACATATACATTTATATTTTATTTTATGTAATGTCTTTTAATATCAAAATGTACAAAAAAAACTTCAATATACAAAGTACACTTGAGTATACTTGATAAGTTTTCCAATTATATATTTTTAATTTGAGATTTTATATAAAATTTAATTTGGCTAAAATGAATTAGCCAATAAAGGCCCTCCACCACCCCCGCTAATTAAATTAACGGTCTTCTTTTGTCCAAAGTAGCTATATACCGTCAATATGATGACAAATAACACTATGCTATCTATAGGATATGTATTTTTTTACGTTTATATGTATTTATATATTTTCTAAATTTTCTAGAGTGACTTTTCACTCTTTTGGAGTGAGATTCATTCTAGAAAATTTAGAGAGTACATATATTATTTTATAATGTATTTTGATATCAAAATGTACAATAAAAATGTATGAAAAGTTTCAATATACAACGTATGTACATAACTATAATTACAAAAATCGAGAATATTTATAAAGTTTCACATGTATTTTTAATTTGAGATTTTGGACAAAAATTTAATTGGACTAAAACGAATTAGCCCGTAGAGGCCCTCCACCACCCCCGCTAATTAAATTAACGGTCCTCTTTTGTGCAAAGTAGCTATATGCCGTCAATATA